CCCTTGCAGCCGCTGCTACATAAAAGAAGGGCGGAGGAATGGAGGTGGGCTATCTCCCAGTCTGGATGGATGTGGGTAATTGCTGTGCAATCAAGTTTGCACAGGGCACGGGCAGGCAGAGGGGGAACACGCAGCCAGTGCTGGCTGGCACTGCTCTGTCAGTGGTGCTTTGGGGACTTTTCTTGGCTAAGTATCTAGCCCAGAGACACACCTGTAAAAGGAGAGCACTGAAAACTGCCGCAGATCAACTTTTCCTCTGGTTTATGGTTGTAATCCTCCCAGGCCGCGTGTGCTGTCCCTCTTGTAGCTGAATCCCCTGAGTCCTCCAGAGCTGGCATTTCCTTCTCGTATTCCCCACTGCCTCCCCTGTCGCACAGGAGCTGCCCTGTCTGATCAAGGGACATGGCAGGGGTACAGCTATCTTGTGTTCCAGCTTTCCGTGTATCCTACTTCTCCCTTCACCTACACGTTTTCTTCCTCGTGCTTCTGAGGATTGCAGAACAGGAACAGAAGGGTCCCTGTGGTGCTTTGTCACCCTGTGTCCTGTGACACCTGGGGCTGGTGTCAGGGGAGGTGCAGTGGGCCTGAGCAGCCTGGCCTTCAGCCAGAGAGCTTAACAGCAGCTCTGTCTGGACCCTGGGGGTGCTTGCCATAAACTGGAGTGAAACCTGTAGCTTGCTTTATTAGTTGATGTTTTTAGTTTCTAATACTGGGGGCTGGGTTTCCGTAGAGCAGACAGAAGGGCAGTATTGAGCAGAGCTCTGGCAGTCCCTTGGCTGGCTCGCATCGTAGCTGGACTCCAGCCTGCAGAATGGTCTCTCAGCCCTTGCCTAAGGTGTGCCTCCTTTCCTGAGGCCCTGACCCCCGTCCTGAAATAACACTACTTGCTCCACTTGAGGCATTAACCTCCTTCCATGCCAGTGCTTTACTTCTGGGTTTGTCACCTGGGTCCTCAATGTCATTCCATCATCTTTCTCTCTTCTTCCAAGTTTTCCTTCGGAAGAGGCAGACTTCCATACCTTCTCAACGTGATCTGCCCTCTCATTCTACTTGACCCTCTAAATTACTGAAAAACAGGAAAAGACAAAACAAACCCATATCGTGGATATTGCATGTTCTCCACCCTTCACTGGAAAATGCCCCCCTTGGTAGAATCACCCTGTCTGTCCTGCCCATGCCTGTGGTTAGCTGTGCTGCTCTCTGGGGATGCACGAGGCATTGCCCACCCTGCAGGCCATGTACCTCTAAAGCATCCTTTAAGCCACAGCCAGCCCTCACTGTTTGTCTGGGCATGAGGAGATGGGCAAGCCTAGGGAGCCACAAGAGCAGCTAGACCTGCTGTCCCCCTTCCTCTGCATTGCTACAGGAGCCAGCTGCAGCAGGGAGGGGATGTCACTGGTTTAGAGCTCCATCTGGGGCTGCAGTTGTCTGGAGGCATCTACAGAAGTGGCTCTGTCCCAGGGTGTGTGCTGCTTACTAGGCAACTGGTGAGAGCTGGTGGCAACAGAGGGGACGTGGCTGTTGTCAAGAGCATGGAGCTGAGACTGCTTTTGTGCAGCGCTCAGACACCATGTAAATGACGGTTCCTGCTCCTCTGCAGGTGAATCTGGTCCTGAACGAAGGGAAGTCCCTGGGCCTCATGATCCGAGGAGGGGCAGAATATTCTCTGGGCATCTACATCACCGGTGTGGATAAAGGCTCCGAAGCAGAGAGCACTGGCTTAAAGGTAAGAGTGACCCCAGAGTGGGCTGGGGCAGGACGTAGAGCTTCACACATGGCTGCAGGGCTGGGTTGGCATGTAACTGCTGCTCTTCCTACCCCTTTGCCCCCAAGGGGGAGCCAAGCAGGCCTCTCAATGCAGAGGTGAGCGCTGCATTTCTGGGGACGGCTTTTCATGGCTGGTTCTTTGGACATTTTGGATACTAAACCTAGAGGGAGCAAGGTTGTTGTGCAGAAGGAAATGCAGCCTTACAACTTCTGGAGTAGGCTGTACTTGCCTTCTGCCTTAGCACACCCCCATACCTGCTTTCTCCCCCTTGAGGTAGCCTGGGGATGTTTTTGGTGTAGGTATCTGAGAGTGCAGCCCAGACCTGGCATGTGACCAAAGTCACTCTCACCTCTCTGAGCTGGCAGGGAAGAGTTTTCCATTAAAGCTTCTGGTCCTGTGCCCTCTTCCTGTGTCTCACATCCAAACCCATTATGTTTGGAGCTAGTGTTTTTTGCACAAGGTGCTCATAGCCTGCCTGCAGAGAATGTGTTTAGCTGCCATGAAGAGAGCCAGGCTTGCTGCAGTGGGAGCAGGTGTGTGCTAGTTTCCTCCTGCAGCATTGGCATTTGCAAGGATCATGTCTTAACAAGCAGAAACAGCAGGATCACCCTCAGGGCTAGAGCAGGGCTGATCTGTCAGCAGCCCAGCTTGGTGTGACCTCTAGCTATGTCAGGCTCCCTCTGTAGTCAAACAGGTTCTTAAAGGATGTTCTGTGAGTTGGCTGGGCCCTTCTGAGGCTGGACCAGTCCAGAATCCTACAGTTTTGCTGCAGACCTCTTGTAAAGCAAGATCCTATATCTCTTTCATCCCACCATGTACACATAATCACCTTGGAGTTCCTCCATCCTTCCCGCTGTACCAGGTGTCAGAACAAAAATGGGATGTCCTGGACCTCAGGCTGTTCCTGGAAGGGTCATTTGGGGTTAAAATATTATATGTTCTAGGACATTCACCAGTAAAATAAGTTGAAAAGGGAGTTCTTGGACTTCGGGTGCAACATCTCTGTGCTGCTGATGGATGGGGCATGTTGGAGACTCAAACTTTCCAGGCTGTAGCATTTTACTTCATCACTCAGGGTTTCTTGTTTGGTGATTCCC